CTATAAGATCTTAAATGACCAGGCCCACCCTAATAAGAGCATCCTGCCATTAAGTGATTATAGGCTTCCACGAGGTAACCCGCTAAGGATAGCACACCAGAGACCAAAGACTCGAGTGCGTTCACATTTCTTCTCGCTTCGAGTTTGCCGTCTCTGGAACGCTTTACCGGCGGCCGTAACTACAGCTCCATCTGTGGAGACTTTTAAGCGGAAGCTGGACAATCATGCAGAAATGCATGGTTTGTGTCTCAATGGCTTACCCTCTTAAAATTTGAAACCACATTGTCAGTGGATAAGCATACAAGCTAAATCCCCACGACCCGTCCTGTCTTCTCCCACTGTACCGACTACTCTATCTTTTCTTTCTTTCTTATTTCACTTTTATTATTTCACTTATCTCAACCTATATTATCTACACTACAACCTATTATTATTACTATTCTACTTTATGACTATACCGAATGACCAATGGGTGTTAGGTCAAACTCCATTCACGACAGCAGCTGAGTCCTAACATACTGCACACTACAAACCACAATCTTGACCAATCCTCGCACCACTCCTCTGGGAGTCTACCAGAGCTAAAGCAGTCGAGTGGCGGGACTTACTACGCATAAGTTCACCAAAGATCTGGAACCTCTACCTTACAATCAAGAAGCGAGCTCAAAGAAATCACTGGTTTATACTAGCTCGTAATCAGGATATTGGATATTGGAGTCAACGCCTATCTGACACTGGAAAGTTGGATCAAAGATTGCCTTCTTAACGAGTGACAAGCTATGACCTACATAGGTGATGCGTTTAATAGATAGTCTAGTAGTACCGTCTATGAGTCGCTTTCGGTGGACGTCTACGAGTAAATCATGATAGTTAAGTAGGTCCTTGTCAACGGTTAGCATTGTGACGTCGTACTCCGCCACGGAGACAACCTAAGCTACGACAGTCAAGTGGAGGAATGAACTGCGCAGAAGTTTACAGAATTTTAGGAACTCTTACATCACAATCAAGAAGCAGTTATAAGGAAATTTAACTGGTTTACACTAGCTCGGAAAGATGGTATTGGATATTGAATCGGATATTGGAAGTGTTGTCATGGTTTCACTTTCTGGGCTCAAATTGGCTCAAGGTAGTGCAAACTGAATTTGTCCTGAGGTTACTGAAACCTAATTAAGTATCCTACCGCTATAAGGAAATTTGAATCAGTCTTAGTAACGATAAGAATTTAATTTTTCCTACGCTAGGCTTAGCGTAACAGTTTTTACTATATACAATAGTAGAACATGTGTGTTCATGAGTCATTTAGTTGTCTAATTGCGACTATCCTTCAAAGTGTGAGCTGATATCAAAAGACAGTTTCAGACTACGTGCGTGTGTAAAACATTTAAAAATGCTGATAATTTGAACATTTATGTTTGTTTTCAATTTTATATAATTTATTTTGTGATGAGTAGTAGCTGGAGTTGTTACGGATTCATCGGCTTATTTTCTTCGGTCCCGCAGTAAACAGTCGTAACAAAGTTCTAGTGAATTTCTTGTAAAACTAATAGGTCAAAATATCCACCCCTAGGACCCGGGTTACCGCTCTCTTCCAATTTTCGTGACAGAATTTCGGTACTGCTGATTCATTTGGGGTGTTGGGTGTTTGAGTAATTAGACCCATTGTTTATTCGACCGAATATGTTTAGATAATGCGAGAAGGAAAAAATAATTTGTTCTGAACATCTTTGAGTTGAATTGAAATCCTTGTTCGATTGATATCCTTTATTTATAAGTTTGTTCTATATATTCTGCTAGATGATTACTAATGAACCCAAGCTACTGAAGTCTGACTAAGTTTGTCCTCTGTACGAAATTTTACTTCGGTATTATTAATGCTTAAACAGCTAAAGTAGATAGCCTAATTCAAGGACTAGAAAGCAGATTGTCAGCTATTATTCTTATTCTCTTAGCAAGGGTCAAGGTGTATGAATAAATGTAGAAATTCACTCAGAAATGGATTGTAATTGTACAACAATAAGCACTTGTACTGCATTCTTGAATGTGATTTATTTGATCTATAAGTCACTCACTTATGTTTTTTACCTTTTATCATATCTTAAGATATAATATTTTATGATGAACTACTTATCATAATGGTTTGAAAATCAAACTGTTACCTACTTGCCATTCTCACTGTTTTCGGTTTAAGCAATGTGAAATCTACACTCTCTTGGTTCATAACTCTGGCAAATCCTTCTAGTGGATGTGACACAGTTTAGAAAAACTTTAATATAACGGAAAGAAGTGTAAACTTTTACGAAAATCTGAGCCTACAGACTTGTGGAAACTGCAGGGAATACAGTGTTTACGTTAAATCTCTCTTATCAGATGGCATAATATGATCGGTAATAATGGGTGTAGGGTAGAGAGTGAAATTCTATCGGGAAGGGTATAAAACTGCAGTAGTTGAGATAGAGTTGACGGACTTTGCTATCGCCTTCCTTGTTGAATAATATTAGCTGACATTGAGTTAGTTTGAATTTACGTTGGTGGTAGTCAAATCAAAACGAAGTTTTTGACCAAGAAGCGTCTAACACCTAGTTGAAGTTCTGGAGACACTTAATATATGACTGAAAACTGTTAGTTAGGTGTCTCGAAAACATTCTCAGTGGTACAGATGCATTTAATCATATCGACCTCTCAAATCTATCCTTTATTTGTTTATTCTTTCTAGAGTGCATTTAATTTATTGCAGTTTCATTGCATTTATTTCTCTCTATGTCAATGTATACGTTCGAGAAAAGTGTTTATTCCACATATTCCACTTCTCTATCAAGTTCTACTTTGAGAAGCCAGTTGAGTTTAGCTCATGGTGTTGGAGGCATATTCACTTGTGTCTCATGAGTAGGTGAATGATAACAGTGAAGTCACCAGCAAAATGTAAACAATATTTATTTATTGATTAACAAAATGAACGGGCTATTTAATCTGTAAATACAGAAACCACCAAGTTGTTTGATTTTAATCAGGTGACTGCAGCTAAGATGCTCACTACCTTCATTTAAAACATCACTGTGTAGCTGTTTAGACCCTCTAGTGTTTCCTCTCATAGACCTAATTCATGACCTTTCATTCACACCATAAATAGGTTTGTCATTCAGGTAGTGATCTAACTCCAGGTGGTTCATAAATTCGAATCTCTGTCAGTCTGCAGCATAGCCCACGCCACTTCTCTATGATTACTAGCTGACTTCTCTCACATTTAATTTTCAGGATCATCAATAAAACTGACAATTTTTCCTGAGTTTAATTCATCATGAGCATTAGCTGAATGTTTGCAACTGTTTGAACTATAGACTGTATGAACAATTGATTATAAATATAAAAGTATTAGGAAAGGAAGACTGACTTAAACCCACTGTGTTGTCATCCAAAATAGAATATAAAAACGCTTTATTAAAATCAGAAATTGAGCTAAAAAAATTAAAATTACGTCTAGACAAAAACGAGCAAAGTTTTAAAAACGTCTATTAAAATTTTATCAAGACAAGGAAAGTCTAATATTTGACTTTTTCTGAGCAATGAAGATTAAGATTTGGCCATTAAACTGCGATGACTTTTAAAAAGAAAAACTGGAAAGGATAAAGGATAAATGTTAGGAGACTTTTGTAAAGGCAAAGCTTTTTTCCTGCCCTAACCACTGGTATGCAAAATTATACAATAAATAGCTGCTTATCATTGACAAAACGGCAGATAGCCTTGGTGCTGAGAATTGCTTTTAACCCCTTTACTCCAAAGTATTGCCCTGTATTTGGGGGGTAACAGTAAAAGGAAGTTTGAAGAGGTATTCTGAAATTTGTGGGTTTTAAGATACTTTCAACAGAGCTGGTAAAACTGATCTTTTCACTTTTTCAATGTATATACGCGTCAATGCGAGCTGAACGAATGCATTTCATTGCATGAACTATCATATGATTTAAGGAATTTAAACAAAGAACTGAGCAGTGTACTAGATAGTCATTCCTTCCTGCTGTAGGACTCCTGATCAGTGTGGATCAACTAATTAACCAATGAATGAACTTACAATTTATAGATTACGAGGTGATCTAGTTGATCATTCGGTCATTGGGGGGGGGGGGAATCCAATGAACAGTGAATTCTAGCTTCTATCCATTCGTGATTTACAGTTATCTGACATTACTAGGGGCAGGCCCTCCAGCCTCATACATTGTGTGTACATTGCACTTCACCATTTCGATTTTTTTTCGATTTTGATTACAGCTTGATTATTCTTACCTTCCTCTAGAGAAGACATATCGGCTGGCTGATTGGCTTTCCGAAGGCTTTCACCAGCACGCTGTGTCATTTCGCCTTTCCGATTCTATCGTTGAGGTTTCTGTAGCAGTTTGATTGGTTTTGTGGGGTAGGGTCGCTGGTCCTATGTCCAACCCTCTTTCTTTACTCGGGCTTGGACCGGCTAGAAAACTAGCGAATTCTGGCCTCTAAGGAACCAACCAAGAGCCAATTGCTCAACAATTTAGTAAGAGAATATAGAGATGGATCGGGCAAACGTTGAGGAGGTCGTCGAGTGACAATGAGCTCCCGGCAATCACTCGAGTGGAATCCGAATTGGAAGCGATGAGTGGATCGTCCCCTACAGCGACATAGAGGAGATCGTGTGAGGAGGAGAAGAGAGATTAATAACAATCGTAGGCCCAGCTAAAGAGGAAACCAGAGGATAGAATAAAGTGGAAATGTGTTGTTGTAGCCCTATGTTCCACTGTGAAGACACGACAGTAATAGTCGATAATAAATAATGTTATCTGGTGACAAAATCCACCTTAAAGTAGATCGAATCTCAACAGTTAAGTACCCCACATTGACTATTTCGTTGTTTACCTCAGGAGTTACATTTTCAAAATTCGTCGTCTGCATGATATCCTGTGAGAGTAATTTCCCCATCTACCTTCTTGTTGTTATCCCTACATCTTTTTATTGTTTGTTCTTTTGTGTTATTTGGTAGTGTACTAAATTGAAGTGAATTATGCAATAATTTAAAGAAAACCATCATTTTGTTTTTAAATAATCAACACTATCTTATCAAACAACAAAAAGTTGTCATCCTAGTCAACTTATGACAAAACAAATCAACTATCAGATAAAACGTCCAGACAACATTAGAAGAAAACAAGAACAAGTTCAAAATGCTACAATTTATATCATAAAACAATATGGACCAACATTTTATTTATTACAGGATGATACAGAAGAAAAGTATAAAGTAAGATGTGGAAGCACAAAAAAATAATCAATAATTGTTGACTAGGTACACTTGGGTGATGTACATACATGCTCTTGTAATGATTTTATGAAATCAAATGAATTATGCATTCATTTATGCTGGTTGTTGATGAAACGATTCAAGGTAGATCCAAATAATCCAGGTAAATTATCAAAATAAATCAATAAATAAAAGTTTTCCTCTCTTAAAAGTATCATGGCAAACAGGTTTAGTTGAACGTGAAATATCAGCTCTACTCGATGGTCAGTATTCAGTCAATAAGACTCCATCGAAATCATTGGCTAAATGTTCAAATGATAGTGAAAATAAAGATGAAGAGGTTTGTTTATTTATGAATTTAAAAAAACAAAAAAACAAAATTCAATTTCATTTAGTTTAAAGGAAATAATCAACGTAGAATTGAAGCTGATGATATTTGTCCAATTTGTCAAGATAATCTTCTTTGTCAAAAACGTTATCCAGTAACATTTTGTCGTAGAAGTTGTGGAAATAGTGTGCATATAAAATGTATGAAGGTGTGGACAGATCATCAAAGAAAACAAAATTCTTTAGGTGAGTAAAAGAACTGGTTTTAGAATAATAAGACACAAGAGTAAATGAAGTAGGACTTAGTGAATTCATCCAGTTTAAGTAGGACTCTTCAGCTGGATACTCTCCATTATTATTTATTTATTATTGTTTCTTTTAGTTCCTAGAGGAACATAGGGCTTCAGCCGCGCACCTCTCCATTCCGTTCGGTTCTCTGCCAATGTTTTCATCTGGCTGCACATTTGCCCACATGCTTTCATCTCCTTTTCACATCACCTTCTCATCCATGTTACCCCACCCTCGCACTGACAACCAACTCGTTACTTCCCGTTCGGGTTCCACTTGAGAAGTGACCTGGCGTGTAATGTCACTGAACGCTTTGTTTTCGCAGAGTAGGACCAATCCACCTCCATTTATTCCAGCTTATTTGATGCATAGTCGGTTCCTGGTTGTTTTGCTCCCAGAGATCTCTGTTGCTGATCTTTTCTGGCCGGCCATCTGATCTTGAGTAGTATTGAGCGAAGACAACTGTTAATGAAGGTCTGTAGTTTGTTTGAGGTGCTCTTCATGACCCGCCAAGTCTCTGATCCGTATAGCAAGTAGCACTGGCTTCACACTGGAGTTGAAAATCCGGATAATATTTTTCATGTTGAGCGCTGTTGACCTCCACACACACACTTGAGATTAGTGAAGGCTTGCCATGGTCTCCGCATCCTCGCTTTCGTACCCTCATCAGTTCCGTCCGCATGTAGTTGGAAAGATGCTTCGCAGGTGAGTAGGTAGGTTAGTGAAGGAGATTGCTTCTTTCAGATTTATCCCATTCATGCTGACTGATTGTTGTCTGTTGTTGTTGCTTCTGCTGATGGCCAGGAATCTTCATCCCTTACCTCTGTTTTCTGTATGTTCACCTGAAGTCCTATCTTTGGTGCTTCTTCTATCGCCAACTTGTTGCTTTTCACTTGCATATCTTCCAGTTTGTGGGAAATCAGAAATATATCGTCGTCGGAGTCCAGATCCTTCAAGTTTTTCGTTAGGGTCCATTTTATGCCTATTTCCTCATTGCCCGCTGTCTGTCGCATTATCCAATCTACTGCAATCAGGAAAATCATTAGAGGCAGAAGGCAGCCAGCTTGTCTCACTCCCGTTTTCACTTCGTAAGATTCCATGAGTTTCCCGTTGTGGACTACTTGGCATGCACCATTGCCGTACAACTGTTGGATGAGATGTACAATTGTTGGCGGAACTCTCCATACAATGACATATATATATATATATATGAGGCTCTTCACCCCGATTACCCCGCCAGTAGGGTCTACCAAATTGGATGTGAGGACAAATAATCGTTGATAACATTGGCTGGCACTGGTATTAAAAATGGCAAACTGACAGAAGTTAGAATTCACTGACCATTGGATTCCGTCCCAGTGGCTCAGTAGTCAACGAATTCATATCGTTAACTGAAAGCCTTGGGTTTGATCCTCTGTGGGATTAAGGGTATATACTACTGAAGAGTGCCGCCAAGTACTCCTTGACTTTTTATGGTTCTCTAAATGAAGTCACTTCGTGGCCAAACTTGAAATCATTTCATAATTACAACAATTACAATTCGTCTTAAGGGTTCTAACATTTTTTGAAGTTGTTTTTTATTGATAACTAACTGTTTTCTTCACAGTGATTCAACTGGACCGTGATCTGTTATACCTTTTCTACTTTAGTAACCTGAAATTAACTTGTAAAACATTTAAAAAGATGAAACATCTACCCAGTACTTCCTGGTACTCAGTGGTACTCTAACTGATGTTAGTCCGTGACTTAACTTGAAAGTAATTGGATTCTTGCAAATCAACACTCGGAAACTATGAAACGAGTTAAGATAATGCCCCTGACTAAAGATGGTCTTAGCAACAATAAGAGATAGAATAAAATAATGATAAAATTGTACATTTCTTCAAAGGAATCTGGAGCGATAATCCAATTCATTAGGTAAACTATACGTTCAGTGAGGCGTAAAATTCACAAAAACACAAGATTTTCCTAGAATACTGTCCTATATATTACATAAAATAATGAAATTTGATATACTTACCTCAGATTATAAGGTGGCTCTTGCTAAATGCCATCAAATATATAGTCACTGTGCGATGAGAAGAAAAACAGCTAAGCTGTGTCAAAGGTGATCCACGTATAGATTAAATAGCGCGCGAATACTATACAAAGAATATAAGGACATATTAATATATGTGTAAAACTTGGGCACTGTGGTAGTAAGTAATTCCATATTAGTTTGTTTATTAGGTATATCACACAGTGAAACAGTATTATTTACTGGATGACGTTTCGAACAAAATTTATTGTTCATAATCATATCAATTGTGATCACACGACTTTGACACTTGAGTTTTATAGTTTTCTTTGTTCTCTCCTATTCGTCGTATGGGTAGTAGAATTTTCCAAATATCGGGGACAGGTGATGAATCATTCCTATTACATGTGTTTGTAGTTGATTCGATAAACAAAGCTTCTGTTATCAATCTCTCCCTATACCCTGTGACATTAGATTTTAAAACTGTCATCCTATCCCATCCATCATATTGTATGGTTGTGTGTGACTGCATGTAGTGCTATAGCTGAACTATTCTCTAGATTTCTTATCTTATTCGGGTCAACCAATCTAGATTTTGCTAAGTTTTTATGTTCAGCTAGTCTGACTGCCCCTGTTCTACTAGTTTGACCTATGTATTTGACCTGACAATCATTGCAGGGTATTAGATAAACTAAATTGTTTTGTTTTAAAGGCTCTACAGGATCCTTTAACCGACAAAGCTTGTTTCTAATTGAGTTTGTGGGTTTGAATGCCGTTTTTATTCCTGCCTTGTTAAGAATTCTGCGTAAGGCTTCCGAGGTCCCTTCCTTGTATGGAATTACTACTGATGATTTAGATTCTTTATTGTTGGTGTCGTCATTAATATTATTATTATTATCACTACCATTATTATTGTTATTATCACTATCACTACTATCATTATTTATTTTATTTTTACTTTTCTTTACATATTTCCTGACTAATTTATCCGGGTAATTATTAAGTTTTAAGGCTTCTTTTATGTGTGTTAGTTCCTGTTTTAGATTTTCTTTGGTACTACTTAATTTTTGTGCTCTGTCATTTAAACATTTCACCAATCCTATTTTTACTGACATAGGATGGGATGATCGGAAGTCCAAATATCTGTTGGAGTGTGTGGGTTTCCTGTAAACACTAGTGTTTACCTTCCCATCTTCTTTCCTCATTACGTTACAATCTAACATTGGGAGCTCCCCTTCCTGATTTTCCAATTCATAACCTTAGAGTTTCCAATTCAACCTTAGAGTTGATATGTTCGAAAAATCTATCTACATCTTGTGTTCTAAGTACAGTGAATGTGTCATCTACGTACCTCCACCATACTTTTGGGGTGGGGGTGAACGTTTTAATCGCTATGCTTTCCCACTTATCCATGAATATATCTGCTACCACTGGGGATATTGGTGATCCCATGGCATGGTATCAAACTGAGGGAGTTGCCTTAACATACAGTGTCTTAACATACTTCTTACAATGACTTCAAGTCACAGACAGAAAGTATAAGCAACATAATTTCAAAGATGATGTAAGTAGACAATCATTTAGTGTTGAAAGACATACAGTGGAAATTGGCCAGGCTTCCAAAATAATCCATATATAAAGGAAAAACATGGTTACTTCATTTCGCAGAAACCACTGCCATCAAAAGACTTCAGCCTAACCTATGCATATAGAAAGAGAGTGTGACTAATCTCTCACTACCCTATCTGGTAACCGTAATTGTCTTGTTCGTGTGCTTTTGTGCTTTTTTCTGGTAGATACACAACATTCCACTCAATCTTGATTTTGATTTTCACTCATTGAGTTGAGCTCACTTTTAAGATTTCAAACCTACTAAATTAAAATATTTTAACTATTTAGCAATTTTACTTCACCATTCCCCCCCACCCTCCTGAAGTCCCCATCTTAATACTTTTACGAATTAACTCTGTTGTTCTAAATTGTAACTTGTCTCTAGTCCATCCTTGTTTCCGAGAGAAATCTGAACTCTGCCCCACTTCCTTGTCTATTTACTATATATATAATTAGTTACTCTTTTAACACCGAATAGTTCATCTACTTACATCATCTTTGAAATTATGTTACTCATGCTTATACTTTCTGTCTATGGTTTGAAGTCATTATAAGAAGTATGTTAAGACATCATTTGTAGCACACAATTGATTTATTTAGGATGTGCGCAGTTGAAGAAAATCCACGAAGTAAAAGCAGCTCTTAATTATCCTGTTTACAAATATGTTCGTTCTTTCATTATTCAAACATTGAATCATTTAGGTGTCACACTATGATGTCCATAGTGTATGAAATGATTTGTTATTGAACCTTTTAATACTTTAATTTCAACTTTTTCCAACCTCGTTGGTAAATTCTCTGTCTGAACTTGACCTGTATAACATTCCCACCTGTCGTTCATTTTTACATCAATAAAAAGGAGTATTTCTGCATGGAACTGTAGATATTAACAAGCCATAAATTCGGAAAATTTGAAACTTGAGAATTCAAACACCTAAGGAAAATATTCTGATTACTCTTGAGTAACATTTAAATCATGGAAAATTCCCATTGTGACATATAGAAAATCAAAACAAATGATTCAGCGAAGAGACTCTTTTCAACGAATTTATCATCAAGCTGTACAACTGTATAGGTATATGGTTACTAAGACGTTATATCCGGTGAGAGAATTGAATCATAGGTGTAAATGCATAAAATAATAATAATATGAAATGCAATTAAAACTAAAATGTTTGTGATTATAATCGTAGCTAAATGTCAAGTGGCAAAGCAAATTAATGTCATATACAGAATAATTCATAGGATGGATAGAACTTGAAAAGGGTGTGCAATTATAAGATTAGTAGACAAATCGAATAAAATAAAAACGTTACGTAATATTGTGTGA